GAGTTGAGGATGGTGAAGAGGTAGAGCTGGGGGATGAGGAAGACGCCGAAGCTGAAGAAGCCCAGGCCCCAGGTGGTGCCCAGCAGGCAGGTTAGCCCCAGCACTGTCGCCCAGTCCTTCCTCGCCTGCCCATTCTGCTGGCGGATCCTCCGCAGTATCATCCCCACCCTCCCCAGCACCAGCATGTTGAAGAGCAGGATGAGGCCAGCATAGCAGACAGTGGCGTAATGGGCCGGTGGGCTGGTGAGCCAGCACCTGGTGGAGAGGGACTCGCTTGGGGACAAGGGCCAGCACCCCCAGAAAGGGTGCCCCCATGTGCAGCGGGCACCCCCCGGTGGGCAGCCGGCAAGAGCTGGGCTCACCAAAAAGTGACACTCAACAGCGCTATGGCTGGCTCCTGCTGGCCCCAGCCCTGGGTCAGCCCCGTGTGCCCAAGGTGCCTGGTGTGCCCAGGGTGCCTGGAGTCCATGCTGTGCCATAAGACCACGCCATGCCCAAGGTCCATGGGGTGCCCAGTGTGCCCAGGGAGCTGGCAGCCCCCCTCACTCACATAGTTGCGTTCCTGTAGCCTTCAGAGGTGCTGATGGTGTGGTACCCGTACGTATCTCTCTTGAAAACAAAAACAGCCACCACAGCCAGCATGGGCAGACCTGTGGGCACAGGGAGAGGCTGTGTGGGGCTGTGCCAGGGCAGCCATGCCACAAGCAGGCAGGGCCAGGCCGGTGCCCCACTCACCCCAAGTGAAGACGCAGAGCTTGAGGAGGTAGTGCTGGATGTAGATGTTGTAGACCTTGACGAGGAGGAGGAGAAGGTGGAAGGCCTCAGCAGCCATCCACGCCAGGGCCCAGAGAAGGCTGGCATGCAGCAGGGCAGCAGTGACCTGGCAGAGCCCCACGGTGCTGGTGGCCATCGGTGCGCTCAGCAGGAAGCTGCAGTTGAGCAGGAGCAGTGCAGTCAGGAGGTGCATGTGGATCCTGGTTGTGTTGTCCCTCAGCCGCTGCCTGGAAGAGAGGGGAGGGCAGGGGGTGCTGGTGGGTGCCTCCTGGCTACACGTGGCATGGTGAAGCATGGCATGGCATGGCATGGCACAGCCCAATGAGGCATGTGTGGCATGGAATGACACGGCACGGCATGGAACAGCACAATGTGATATGTATGGCAGGGCATGGTACAGCACAATGTTGTATGCATGGCACGGCATGGCACGGCACGGTATGGCACGGGACAACAAGGCATGCATGGCAGAGCAGGGCATGGCATGGCAGAGCATTGTGCAGCCCAACATGGCCCGCACGGCATGGCACAGCCCAATGTGGCAGACATGGCATGGCACGGCACGGCACATCCAATGGCATGGCACAGCGTGGCATGGCAGAGCCACCATAAAGTGGCATGCACACCACGGCTCTACCTGGAGAAGCACCTCAGTAGGAGGGTGCAGAGGGTGGCAGCAGCCGAGAGGGAGCAGCCAACGGTGGTGATGTGGGTGAGCGATGCCAGCTGGGCTGGGCTTAGGGTGCCCACCGGAACCTGGCAGGAGCGGGGAGGGAGGGGGTGAGCTGGGGCAGCACCCACAGCAGCACCCACCCCTTGGGAAAGGCAGGGGGGGCTTGCAAAACCACCTCCCTGGCCACAGCCTCGGGCAGAACACCCCCCCATACAGCCCCTACCCCCACAGCCCGTACCCCCGCCTACACCTCCACCTCCAGGGAGGAGGAACAGGAATGGAGGGAAGGGGAAAAGAGGAAGACGGAAGAAGGGAAGGAGAAACGAGTATGGAGAGTGGAGAAAGAGGGGAGAAGGAAACTGAAAGGAGGGAAATAGGGAAGGAAGAAGGAAAAAGGAGGAAGAGGGAATGACGAAGATCCAAGGAGGGAACAAGGGAAGGAAGAAAATGGGAGGAGGAAAGGAGGAAGGAAGAAGGAAGGAGTGAAGGAAGGAGGAAGCAGAAAGGAGGGAAGGAGCATGGGTGTAGAAGAAGGAAGGAAGGAAGGAAGAGGAGCGAAGGTGGAAGAGAGAAGGAGGAAGAAGGAAGGAAAAGAGGGAAGGAGGAAGGGGGAAGGAGGGAAGGAGGAAGGGGGAAGGAGGGCTGTGGACCAGCAAGACGGCGAAGTAGGTGAGGTGGTCACAGTGGCAGATAACAGTGCCATTCTTGTGCAAGGTCTTGCAGCCCTTCTCGCTCCAGCTGCCTGTGCTGCCTGCGCCTGCCAGAGAGCCACCATCAGAGGGTGGCACAGTAGCCAGGAGACAGGGACATCAAGGGGATGTTGAGTCCTGCCAGGGCTACCCAGATGGGCAATGCCTTCGGGTGGCACCGACCTGGCATTGCCCCTGTCCTGGCCATGGCCACACTTACCGGCTCCAGGCTGCCAGAAGACGCAGGTGGCGTTGGAGGCATCCTGGTGGGAAGGGAACAGGGGGAGAGCTGGAGACCCTTGCTGCTCCCTGGTGACCCCAGGAACCTTCTGGTTCCAAAGCAAAGTGAGGACACTAGCTCTTTCCCCAGCTCCAGGGGAAAACCTGATGCTGGGACCCTCCCTGGCTCATGCCAGCAGTGGAGCCCTGCTCACCAGCACCATGTCGTGCCAGAACTGGATCTTCACGGGGCGGCTGAGCCCGGCCACATGCCCGCTCTGCAGGAAGGCTCCCACCACGTCGTTGTTCAGCACGGAGCTATTGTGGGCATCCTGCAAGAGTCGGGGTGCCTGCAGGGTGAGTCCCGGGTCCCCAGGACATCCCACCCACCCCGCGCATCTCAGCTGGAAGGGTGTGATGGGGCAGGCATGCTGCTGGCTGAGGATGTTCAGGGGGGTCCATGCCAGGACCTGCGGCTCACCTGGAAGATGCAGGGGCTGTGGATGTAGATGCAGACAAGCTCCTGCTCTACTCCCCGTGCCTGGGTGCCCTCCATGAGCTCTGCCGGGAAGCTAATGGCATGTCTGAACCTCCTGCCACTGGCATGCTTCACATTCTGCACCAGTGGGCAAGGGAGAGATGGATTTGGCCACCCTGTGCTTGGCTGGCTCAGGGGATCTCAGCGTGCTGTGCACCCCCCCCACCACAGCCACCACAGTTACTGGTGTGGTGTCATCCCTGAGCCCCAGCAGCAGCTCCAGCTCTGCCGCAGTGCCTGCAGACATGCAGACATGGCAGCTGCTCCCATCTTGGTGTCAGAGCCCTCCCAGCACATGGGGAGCTGTGTCAGGGAGGGTGTCCATCACCCATGGGTGAGCACGCCCATCCTGCCGGCCCTGCTGTGAAGCCAGCACAGGGCAGATGGCATCACACCGGAATGCTTTCCTGGTGGGGTTTCACACCTTAGTGGGTTCCCCCGGATGGTCTCTGCTCCCAGGTCCCGAGCCAGGGGGTCCCAGCTGGCAGGCAGGTGCCCCCACCTGCAAAACCTGCCTTGTCCTGCAGGAAGGGACCTTTGGCCAGAGCAGTGGGACCTCCCCGGCCAGGCAGCCCCACAGCTGGGGGAAGTGCCAAGGTGCAGCTGCATGAACCCCTTGCAGGGAAGTCGTCCCGCTTGCTCTCCACCGCAGTTTCCCTCTCGCTTCCCACTGCAGGGAGGTGGGGGCCAGGACTTCCTTTTTCATAAATCAGAAGAGCTTCAGGATGGAAATCCTGGCTCTTGGCTGCAGAACACTCTCCCCCCCACCACCTCTCCTCCAGACTTAGAAGCCCCCAGATTTATCCCAGCAATGGTGCTGGGAACCTGCAGCCCTGGTTGCCTGTGGCACCCCGGCAGAACCACATCTCAGGAGGCTTTGCTGGAGTAAAGCATCCTTGGAGTATGATGGAAACCCAGTGTGGGCAAATGTCAGCCACCCCAGCACCCCCCCAGCACCTCCCAGCATGGATGGAGGGGGCACGGGGTACAGGAATCCCCTAGGAATAGCCCCAGCAGCACAGGGAGACCAACCATCCTGCTGCTGAAGTTTAACCCTCTGAAGTGCTTGGGTCTGAGCTTGAACACGTAGGTCTGGAACCTGCTGCCTGTGAAGTTATACTTCTTTTGGCGGGTCTCCAGCTGAATTAACCTGCACAAGGAAGGTGTTCGGGGCAGGGTGCCACAGGATCCAGCCCCTGGGTCTGGGGGGACATGAGGGGTCCATGAGGCAGTGGGGCGGGAGCTGGTGCTCACCTCTCCCTGGCGCGGGGGCTGCTGCCACAGCCCTGCTGCAGCAACTCTTCCATGTCATTCTCCATCACTCTCTGCTCTGATGAAGCTGTTTCAGTAGCTGAGCCTCAGCATATGGCACCCTGCTCCTCGGCTCCAGCCCAGGGAGCCCAGAATGGCCCCAGCCCCAGAAATGCCCAGCCCAACACCAGCATGGGAGATGTCCCTACCTTGACCCCACAGGACGCAGGTGGTGAGGCAGAGGATGAAGGCGATGAGTTGTAGGGTGGGCATCACCGTCGTCCTCTCCTGCAAAAGGCACCCAGGACTTGGGCAGCTCCCTGGAGCCCCCCCCCACCCCCCCATGTCCCCCAGGACCTTGGCCCTTTCCGATGCACTGACTACAGGACAAAGATGGGGTCCCGGTGGCTTCCCCCTGCCCTCAGCCGCCAAGTCCCCCCGAAGCCATCACGGTGGCAAAGTCCCAGCCTGGAAGCGATACGCGGCTGTGCCAGCAGCGGATGTGAGGGTGAGGCGAGGAGGAGGGTGTTTGCCACAGTGACCGGGGTGCAGGATGCTCTTCACATCCGTCTCTTCATTACTGAGGTTGTAAAACCGCAGGGGCAAGGCTTTTGCCTTCTCCCTGCCCCAGCCGGGACTCGCACATCGCTGCCATCCCAGCTCCTGGTTGCAAGCAGCCTGGAAAGCAGAGGGGTGGCCAGCGTGCTCTGCCGCGGTGCCAGGGCTTGCTGGCAGTGGCCCAGCCCCGGGCTGGGGAGCAGGAAGCGTCCCCCAGCACAGGGTGGGGGGAAGGCAGCTGGCAGCAAGATCTGCAGCCGTTGTAACACAGCACCCGCTGCCTCTCTGGGCAGCGCTGTCAGGAGAGAGGCCATGGGTCCAGCTGTGCCGGCGTGCAACCCAAGGCACAAACAGTTTCGCTGTGGGTGCAGCGATGGGATTGATGCTTGAGGCTGGTGATGGTCAGGAGCAGCAGCAAGGTGGGCAGCATCATGGGCAGCCACCTGCACAAGCTGCCCTCTGACCCCTGGCAAGGGACAGCCACCGTGTTCCCTTTAGGATGTTTTGCAATAAATAACCCTTTTACTTCTTGGATTGCTGTGGTGGCTCATTGCAGGCGTGTGCCCCAGCCTCCCTTGCCACCCAGGCACAGACAGGCAATGCCGAACACTGTCCCCCCTGCCACCAAGCCAGAGAGGGCATCGTTTCCTCACTGCACCCTCCTGAAGTGACAGGACACCCCGGCAAGCCTCTGGCATTGCACCAGCCCTCGACATCCCCCCTCGCTGCAGTGAAGGCCCTACCTTGGGCATGGGGCAGCTCCTCAGCACCTCAATGGCGTGTGCCGCTGCTCCGGCGCTGCCTGCACAGCTGTTGAGGCAACAGAAAAGGAAGTGTTTGTATGCAGATGAGCAGATCACATCAAGAGAGCTTTTAGATTTCCTTTTGCTTACTCATTTTCACAGAATCTTCTAGGTTGGAAGGGACCTTAAAGATCATCTTGTCCAACCGTCAACCTAATTTTGACAAAAATAAACACCTACACAACAAACAAAAAGCAACACCATCACTAAACCGTATCTCCCAGCACTACATCAACCCGTCTTTTGAACACCTCCAGGGATGGTGCCTCAACCACCTCCCTGGGCAGCCCATTCCAATGGCTGATTACCCTTTCAGTGAAAAATTTTTTCCTAATATCCAGCCTGAACCTCCCCTGGTGTAAGTTTTCATAGCACATCGAGGGACCAGCAGAGGGGGAGCATCCATGGCACTGCCAAGCCCCAAGAACATGAAGGTCGAAGCTTGCCATGGCAGTGGGCTGCTATTAAGCATGGCCCAAAGACAACCTGCTCCCTGGACATGTCTGATGTAATTAACTTTCTGCCTCTAATGAGCTTGTCCCCACTTCTCCCCACTACCGGCTCACCAGCAACCCCGGCTCTCCCGAGCTGAGGAGCCTGGCCAGCACCAGCACCACGGTGGTGCCACCAGGGCAGGAGCTGCTCCAAGCAGAGCATGGACACTTGCCAAGTGTTGGAAGTCAAGCCAGCAGGGCAGAAGGCTGGTGTGGCTGAGCAGGGATCTGCTGGTAGGACTCAGGTGGAAAAGGAAAGTGTAGGGACATTAGGAGCAAGGACGGGCACCACAGAAGGAATATGGAGATGCTCTTCACCACTGTATGGAGCAAATTTGTGCAGTCAAAGCTTGATTAGCCCTCAAGCTGGCCAGCACTGTGAAGGACAACAAAAAGGGCTTTTTAAAATATGTTAACAGCAAGAGGAGGATCTGAGATAACATCAGTTTGTTGCTTGACAAGGTTGATCACCTCACAAATAGGGACATAGACAAAGCAGAGATGTTCAATGCCTTCTTCACCTCCTTCTTTAGCATCAGTGATGGACCCTGGGACCTCCAGAGCCCTGCGTTGGAAGACCATGATGGGGGGGATGATAGATTCCCAGCCAACCCTGAGCTAGTTCAGCACCTGCTGCTCCAGCTGGATGCACAGAAGGCTATGAGGCCCGATGAGGTTCATCCCAGGGCACTAGAGGAGCTGGATTATGTCAGCCTGGGACCTCTCTACACTATTTTTCAGCGGTCTTGGAAGTCTGGAGAGGTCCTAGTTGACTGGAAGCTGGCAAATGTTGTCCTCATTTTCAGGAAGGGTAAGAAGGAAGATCCTGGTAATTACAGGCCCGTTAGTCTCACTTCAGTGGCTGGTAAAATTATGGAGAAGGTTATTCTGGGAGTTATTGAAAAACATTCGAGAGACAACGCAGTCATTTGTCACAGCCAGCATGGGTTCATGAAGGGAAAGTCTTGCTTAACCAACTTAATTTTCTCTCATGACAAGGTCACTCATCTAGTTGACCAAGGGAAGCCAGTAGATGTGATGTTTTGGGATTTTAGCAAAGCTTTTGATACTGTCTCTCACAGTATCCTTCTGGATAAACTGTCCAGCACACAGCAAAACAAGTCCATCATACGTTAGGTGAGCGATTGGCTGACAGGTTGGACTCAAAGAGTTGTAGTAAGTGGGGCCAACATCAGACTCGCAGCCAGACAGCAGTGGGGTTCTCCAGGGCTCCATTAATGTTTTTATAAATGAACACGGGAGTTGAATGTACATTAAGTAAATTTGCTGAGGATACTAAAGTAGGAGGAGCTGTGGACTCCCTTGAGGGTAGAGAGGCCTCACAGAGAGATCTGGATGTAGTGGAGAGCTGGGCAATCGCCAACCATATAACATGTCAAGAGCAAGTGTCAGATTCTCCACCTGGGATTGTGTTATCCTGGTTACACACACAAACTGGGGGGGCAAGAGGCTCGAGAGCAGCCCCGTGGAAAGAGATCTGTGAGTTTGGGTTGATGGCAAGTTCAATAGGAGTCAACCCTGTGTGTGCCCAGGCAGCCCAAAGGGCCAACCATGTCCTGGGGTGCATCAAGCACCTCATCGCGAACCAGTCAAGGGAGGTGATTGTCCCACTCAGTACTGCACAGGTTCATCCCCACCTCGAGCTCTTGTGGGGAGTGAGGAATTGTGGAGACGCGCTCGCTCAGCAGGTGTTCTTGCAGTGATGGGAAGGAAGCCTTGAGAACAGTAAAACAATGTCCTTGTATGGTAACGTGAAGGCAACAAAATAGATAGCAAGCTAGCAAATAGATACCAATTTAACAAAACAAATAATGACTAATTGGCCTGAGCGCATGAACACTTACATGTAGCCAATTGTATTGCTCATAACGGCGTGTGGACATCCTCACAACCTACCTGTGTAGAGAGCACGGTGCGCGATCAAAAGAAACTACATATGCTGTAAAAATAAAACATTAAACGTCTTCACTTCACCACCTGGCAGATTCCGTGCCCTTTGTTGCCGCGAGCTCTGTGTGCAATTTTGGGCACCTCAGTAGAAGCACATCAAACTACTGGAGTGTGTCCAGTGGAGGGTGACCAAGGTGGTGAAGGGTCTCAAGGACAAGACTTATGAGGACCAGCTGAGGTCACTTGGCTTGTTCAGCTTGGAGAAGAGAAGGCTGAGGGGTGACCTCATCACTGTCAGGTGACCTCATCACTGACAGACGATGTCATCACTGAGGGGTGACTTCATTGCAGTCTACACCTTCCTCAAGGGGGGCAGCGGAGGGGAGGTGCTGATCTTCCCTCTCTGATGACCAGCAACAGGACACAAGAAAATGGAATGAAGCTGCATCAGAGGAAGTTCAGGTTGGACATTAAGAAAAGGTTCTTCCCTGAGAGGGTGGTTGGTCCCCGAACAGGGTCCCCAAGGAAGTGGTCTGTCAGAGTTCAAAGAGCATTTCAATGATGCTTTTAGTCATATGGTCTAGTTTTGGGTGGTCCTCCGAGGAGCAGGGAATTGGACTCAATGATCCTTATGGCTTCCTTCCAACTTCAGATATTCTATGATTCCATCATGCTACAGTTTGATGCTATTGTTGGGATGGAGCTGGCATCATCTGTTCCACCCCCAGGCATGATGGCGCAGCTCCCCAGCAACGCCAGCCAGCCCAGCCAAAGGAAAAAAGGTCTTTTCTTCCCCCTCCCCACCCCCACCTCAGATGGTTAGTTTTGCGCCAAGAGGCTTTACCTTGTGCTAAAGGGTCTGCTGGATCCATCTGCAGTGATGTGGCCATGTGCAGAGACATGTGGTGGGAGCAGAAACAGCTCAGCCACACTGGTGCCCACCATGGGACTACAATGCTGCCCTGTGCTTGCTCAGTGCTGGTAGCCACTCATGCAATGAGTCTCTACGTCTCTAGGTCTCTGCCTTTGTCTGACCCACCTCCCAAAGCTTTGGGCACAGCCAGGTACTGGAAACCCAGAGCTGGAGGAGGTCAAGAGCATGCCAAGAGGATGATCCATGGACCACAGATATGGATCACTGTCCATGTCCTTAGGACATGTCCCCCCGGACCCAGGAGGTTTGATTCTGGCAAGGGCAAAACCCACAGATCCCAGGATACTGCAGTGCATCCTTGATCCTGCCAGTGACACTCATGTCCAAACAAAGAGTAAAGACACACTTGGAAAAAAACTTTGCCGACT